CCATATCTACTAAAAATACAAAAAATTAGCTGGGTGTGATGGCTACACAGGAGGCTGAGGCAGAAGAATCGCCTGAATCTGGGAGGTGGAGGTTGCAGTGAGCTGAGGTCATGCCACTGCACTCCAGCCTGGGCAACAGCACAAGACTCCATCTCAAAAAACAAAAAAGAAATCAGAACTCCAATTCAACCCAGTAATGCCATCACTGGATATATATTCAAAGGATAATAAATTGTTCTACCAAAAAGACAAAACCACTCAGATATTCACTGCAGCATTATTTACAATAGCAAAGACATAGAGTCAACCACGAAGCCCATCAATGGTGGAGTGGATAAAGAAAATGCGGTGTATATATACCATGGAATACTATGCAGCCATAAAAAGGAATAAAATCATGTCCCTCTGTAGCAACCTGGATGCAACTGGGGGCCATTATCCTAAGCAAATTAACGCAGGAACAGAAAACCAAATCTACCACATGTTCTCACTTATAAGTGGGAGCTAAATATTGAATACACATGGAAATTAAATGGCAATAATAGTCACTGGGTACTGCCTGGGAGGAGAGAGTGGGAGGCATGTAAGCAGTTGAAAACCATTGGGTACTGTTATGCTCACTACCTGGGGGATGAGACCTTTCATACACCAAATGCCAGTGACACACATTTTACCCATGTAACAAATCTGCACGTGTACCCCTGGAACCTAAATTATAAATAGAAGAAGAAAAACAATTCTATACTTTCATTTAGAAACAATATGTCTTTGTTACAATTTCCTAGGAGCACAGGATTAGCAGCTGAAATTTTCTTAGAATTAAATACACAGATCCTGAGTTGTCCATTAACCTTGCCAGTTGGAGGTAATTATTTCACTGGAGCTGTAACACAGCTGGAAAATATCACATCTTTCACAAGGAAAAAAAAAGAGTTTGGAAAAAGCCTACCGAAATTTTTGTCTGATCTCACAGAATTTGCTTTTGAAGGTTTCGGTGAAAAGGAAACAATTACAATTAACATCTGAAAATCACTTATCTTTGTGCTTGCCCAAACTATGCGGATTTCTGTCTGAAGCTCTGGAAACAAAATGTTTTTTAAATAATGCATGTGCTGAAAATGGATTAGGATAAAAGCTTTCATTTCCCCTTTGTGTTTCGATTGATCAGATTCCCAACTGTTGGAAGATTTCAAAATTAGTTTTAGACATGGGCTGGTCCAGCCCTTTTCCCTCCCTCTAGGGCAACCGAAGCAAGAGCAGAACTCTGCCATCCCTCCTTTAGCCTCAGGGAGAGTTCAGTTACAGAGTCTGCAGGAAACGGGGGCAAAAATCAAAATCAAAAACAAAAACAGGTGGAAATGGAAAAGAATTTAATTCTAAGAAGATTTCAACTACTAATACGGAGCTTGGTAGAAAATTCTAACAAAGAGATAGTTTATAAATGAAAGCGTTAAAGTAGGTAGTTAGGCAGACATTTGCAAGACAGGAGACGGCCCCCCTACCCCTGCAGGAATGTCAGGCAAGCAGCAAGAGATGGTCAGCTGGTTGTTAAACTAACCCTCTGAAATGATCACTGGTCACAGCCAGCTCCAGGTGAAAACACTTTCCCCATAGATAGAAAAGACCTCAAGCTGGTGATCAGCAGCTTCTTAATATCTCAAGAGTTGAGCAAGGAGACCCATGTGTGCTCACTAAGAGACAAAATTGCGGATGTATGACCTTCCTCTGGGGGCGTTCCACCGGTAAAGAAAAATCACCCCTGGAAAACATACATACAACCTCAGTAAATGCACTATGCATGCAGTCTCTATCCGAATGCTGACTGACACTGGGCCGGTGGCAGTTGAGTGACAGCTCACCTGAAGGGAAGAATGACAGGAGGAGAAAATGTACAAAACCCCAAGCCAAGGGCTGAATGGGTGCTTGGAACTCTCAAGTCACCTGCTTGGCCCTCTCCCAAGCATAGTTTGCTTCCTTTTGCTGCTGCTCTAAAACTTTTCTTTCCTTTCTTTCTTTTTTTTTTTTTTTTTTTTTATTGAGACAGAGCCTTGCTCTGTCGCCCAGACTGGAGTGCAGTGGTGCGATGTCAGCTCACTGCAACTTCTGCCTCCCAGGTTCAAGCGATTCTCTTGCCTCAGCCTCCTGAGTAGCTGGGACTACAGGTGCACACCAACATGCCCAGCTAATTTTTGTATTTTTAGTTGAGATAGGATTTCATCACGTTGGCCAGGATGGTCTCAATTTCATGACCTCATGATCTGCCCATCTCAGCCTCCCAAAGTGCTGGGATTACAGACATGAGCCACCGCACCCAGCCTTCAAAAACTTTTTAATAAACTCTCACTCCTGCTCCAAAACTTGCCTTGGTCTCTTCCTCTGCCTTAAACCTATTTCTGCCCCTTAGCCGAATTTCCTCCTCTGAGGAGGCAACAATCAATTTTCTTGCAGACTCATATGGATTTGCCACTGGTCACAAAAGTAGAGAAAGTGCAGAAAAATGAGAGGTTAAAAATAAAATAAGACTTCCAAACCACAGAGTCAGCAGTCATTGAGGGCAGGAGATTTCCTGCTTCAGCCAGAAGGGTCTGTTTTATGTGAGAGTCCCTCATCTTTATGGTTCTGCCACGTGAAGTCACCACTGTAGGGAGTGACAGATGATGGTGATGGAACGGGAAAGGTTCCATTTTCCCCCTCGCAGGGCGTGCGGCGGGGGAGAGGCTCACTTTTTCAGACCCCCACTGCTCGAACCTCTAGAGGAGCATACAGAGGGGCAGGCAGTGGGGCTCCAACCCCACAGCAATGTCTAGGGCGAATGTTTGCAGTTCCTGAGACCCCAGTGGGAGTGTGGTGCAGAGCGATTTTTTAGTTTGCTGTCTATAGGTGGCTTGTGTTAACCAGCTCAGCTAGACCCTCTACCTTGTTGCAAGGACAGAGGGCTTTCTGTATCCTGGGTTCTTGCTTTGGTGTACCAGAAGAATCAGATCACACGTGGGCTTGGAGAATAAGTCCAAAGTTTTATTGAGTGGAAGTAGCTCTCCGCCGAGGAGGGAGCCAGAGGGAGATGGTTTCCCCTGCAGCTGGGCCACTTGGTGGCCCTGGCTCTCCTCTGACTGCCCTGGCCAAGCTCTACCTCTTCCCACTGGTGATGGCCTGCCCCATGCCGGCGTCTGTTGATGTGCTCTTTCACTGGCGTGCCACCTAAACCTCCTGTCACCTTCCAGCTGCTTGTGTCTTCTTCCACTGGTGTGCCCCTCTCAACATTTGGATGCTGTGTGTCTGCCCGCTGAGTCTCAGGTTTTTATAGGCCCCGGATGGGGGTGTGGTAGACCAGGGTGGTCCTGGAAAATGCAACATTTGGGCGTGAAAGCAGGCGTGCCTGTCCTCACTTAGGTCTGTGCGGGTGGAGACCTAGCCAGGGACCCAACTTTCTCTACCCAGCACAGCACTTCCCTGCCCCACTCCCGTATCAGTGACACAGCACCCAGGCTCCTGAGCTGGCAGGACTGCTGCTGGCTGGGGCCACATTACATTTATAACTTCCAGCTAAAGCCATGCAGGCCCATCAGGGCACATGGGCCTCTGTCATTCAATGGAGGTGAATCCAGACTTTTGGACAGGAGATTCCCCTGTGCATTACAACAAGGACCCCCTCACTCCCGTGAGCTACCCTGCAGCTGAGAAAAAGAATATGTAAGCCTCTGTCCTGACAAGAAAGCCTATTCTTAAGAGGCTGTTGAGAGCAGCAATCATGTTTGAAATATTCCCTATTAGGCCGGGCGCGGTGGCTCAAGCCTGTAATCCCAGCACTTTGGGAGGCCGAGGCGGGTGGATCACGAGGTCAAGAAATCGAGACCATCCTGGTCAACATGGTGAAACCCCG